GCGGAGGAGCATATATTTCCCGCCAAAGAACATAGGCAACCATCATAATAAGTCGTACCGCAAAAGTTGTTATCGCGGGCGTCTCAGATACTGGCGAGTCTACCCGCTCGTAGCATGCCTGCGATTTCGACGGTCGGCAACGGCAGCGTTGGCAGCGCGACTGGCCCGCAAGGGATTTCGCGCCAATACGATCGCATTGCGATTGGACCACGCTTTTGCGAGCCAACATATACCAATGGGTCATATCCTCGGCAGTTGTGGATCGACGACCATAGATGTGCAGCTAACATGTTATATCCCTACGGAGCTGGCGCCACAAACTAAGCTGGGCACAAAGACGCAGCATCGGACATATTACACTTGCCTGCCCCATGGGCGCTTGATGTCTGGAGCAATACATTCCGTTTTTGTATTAGAGAAGCCATGGTATCGATTGCAGCTCAGTCAGAGCCTTCGGTGAGCGGACCATCGACTAGTTCAAATAATCTTCGGCATCCGATTACAACGCGATGGGTCTGCAATGGCCTCACGATGGAATCGCAGAGCCTTCGTGCAGGAGCTGCTGCACGGTACCAACAGGGATCTCATCTATGAGCGTTTCGCATTGTGGTGTGTCACCAGCGAACGCAGATGGCCGCAGACGATGGATAATGGTTCAGTTGCTCAATCATGGCAGTTTCTGGTGAACGCGCTCAAAGATGCGGCGCAGTTTTTCTCCCCTCGGAAGGACATGCAACAGCGAAATCTTAACGGCATCAAGCTCGGTTTTCTTCGAGCGACCATAATTGCGACGGGGTCGCGCGCCGCAATGGAATCATGACGGACGTGCCCTTAGTCGATTGATTTGTCGGATATTGGATACCAGACAGGCCGTGGTTTCGATGCCGAAAATTATTCGCGATTTGCGCTCGGCTATCGAATTCATTCGAGCCAGCCGAGAGGCGGCCGCGCACATCATGACGACGCAGGCAGATCGGCGATTGGCCCCCGATGGCAGCAAGCGCTCAGGCGTGGACGGATAGGCGACATGCTGGGGCACGTCAACTAGCACGGCAGATTGCTGGCAGGCGGCTCGGCCCCGGGCGACGCGGGCGCGGCAGGCCTGCAACGCTTGGATTGGCGGCGGCGGAAGCTGAAGCGAGATTCACAGTCGGGGGCAAAAAGCGAACGGGGCGCCAAGCGGATCACAGATGCGCAAGTATCCATTCAAGCTCAACGCGCCAGACTTCTCCCGGTGGATGAAGTGCGGCAAGAGGCGGGACGTGACTATTTCGTGCCATGAACGCCGCAGGTAAGGTCAATAATAGACCAGCATCCCCTGATTAGGACCTTCCTGCGGAGGTATGGCGCATTTCTCTTTCTCTACCATGTGGCATTATTGCTCGACGCGGTGTAAGTTTGGCAACTCCAGTGAACCAGCTTCTATGTGTGCATGATCGGCTACTGCCGTTTCTTCAGAGGTCTCGCGCGCATGACAAGCCACTTCAGCAGTGATATCGAGATAAGTGCTTCGGCATTCCAAAGGACTCCGGTGGCACAAGGGATGTGCATGGATATGGGTCATGCAGCAAAGTTTTCGTTCGTGGATTGTGTCAGAATCAGCCGTCGGACATTGCTTACCCCCGCGCATATCACGATGCAGGACGGCGCGATGAAGGTGCTGCCGCGGCTACCGCGACCATGACGCAGCGGCTTCGCATGGCGCGACAAATCGCATGGCGCCCTCAATTTCGATGCTGCCAATGCTTTTAATTGCGCGAAGCAGGACTCGATCACCGCCCGCACTAACTCGCAAAGCGAAGACAACCTCCTGGACGATCGCATCGGCGGCTGCGTCGCGGAGTCAGACGAAATTTGCGGCCGCGTCAATTTTCGCGCGGCGAAGGAGTTTCGCAGGGCAGTCCTCTTGGGACAGGCGTTTCTGAGAAGGCGCACGGTGCCTCGGTTGACGACTGGCGCGCTGATTCCCTGGCGCCTGCTGCGCGCGCATCGTCGGCCACTCGGGGCGACGTCGTAGACTGCTCGATCTTTAGATTCGTGGACGACGCATGGCACATGACTTGCGCGGGTGGATTCGGTAGTTCGAGGGAAAACACGTCTCGTCGCATCGGATCGCTTTCGGAACGTCGCCCCGAGATCGGGCGCGCGCAGAGTGAGAAGAAGCCGGAGGCCGCGGTCTCAGGCAACACACAGCGACGCGCGCATTCTTCACGGATGCTTGGTCGAGCGATGCGCGAGACGAGATCTCTTGGACGCATGATTCAATATCGTGGTTTCAACAACAAATGGCGCGGCTGTTCAGCGTCGAGTTCAGGCGCGCAAGAAGAACCAGCGTTTCACAAGTTCGGGTTCGGCAAAATATTTCGCGAACTCAAACTCGCCCTTTTCCGCGCGATGCGCGCGTCACGCCAGGTGTCTGTTTGGCGCGCCGGGGCCCCTTCTCGCCGCAGAGGCCGGGGCCGAGCTCGACGAGGCCCAGATGCGGCATTGTCGCAAGCTGATGATGGGCGCCGCGACCACCGCCGCCGCCCGCCCCGGCGGCGCGGAGAAGAAGACTGCTCTCTCGCCAGCTCGGGTTTCGCCGTTGCTCCGAATTGCACCTGGCCCGATGGAGCTTGGGATTCAGAGATTGCGGCGGTGCCGGGCTACGTTCAGGGCCCCCGCCTGAAGCGAGCAGCCCCCCGCCACCCTCCTCGCTCCTTTGGCACCCTTTGAGCAGGTGCCTTTACATCGCACTAGGCACGGATCGCCGACCTCTATTGCGCAGCGAATGATCGAGGATCTGGATTCCCTGGCCGACCTAGAGGAGGGGGGCCTTCTTTGTGGAAAGGTCTGCGGGCGCTCCTGGGATGCTCCTAGCGGGTAGAGATCAGCTGGCCCAGTTTCTGGGAATGGATGCGTCTGAGCTTTCTCACCGTCGCTGCACCTCCACCACGTTTCCAACGGGCCCCCCAAGCCCTAGAAGCTGGGCACCCACTTGAGCGGGCTTATCGTTGTCATGGTATCCTAGCAAATCGTTCGAGACTCTTCGAGTTTTGCGCGTGCCTCAGGCTAGGGCTAGGCATGCGAATGGATCTGTTCATGCGGAACGGTGTATCCAGAGCAATATGTGTCCGTGAATTTCGTCGGCATTCAGTGGTCGTGATTGCGCAGTGTATCATGCACGTTACTCGTTTATCCAATATCGGTGCTTAACTGACCGTGCCATCACGCCACAGCATGTACAAGGTGAAATAGATATAGCGTGTCCTATGCGTGAGCAGGTTTCAAGTCTCTAGTACAATATTCATGTACGGAAACGCGTTCGCGGGTTTAGGGATATTCATTTATCGGTAGCGCGTTCGGGGCTTGAGATTGCGCCGGCGTTTGCTGCGCGTTTCGCGCGCGGGCGCCCTGCGGACATCCCGCTCGAGTTCGGGCGTCCTCCTCGGCAGCGCCAGCGACAGGGCGAACCTCTCGGCAGGGTCTTGAGGGAGGCCGACAAGGACAACTTCAAGGCGATCAAAGACATGATCATCCTAGTGGCCACGCTGGGGTTTGCAGCAGAGTACCATGCGCGCGTCGCACGCGCAGTGTCGGACTTGAAAGCGCGCGTTTGCCCGTATGCCCATGCGACGATCCAGGCGGGATTGGATTCGGGGCGCGCGCGCGTTCAGCAGGCCGCGGCGGGAGTGGCGAAGGAGGAACGCGAGGAGCAAGTAGGATTGCCGCACACGACCATCTTCCTCGCGATCATGAGCGAGGCGGAGAAACAGGCGGCGCAGCCCAATGCCAACGTGAAGCAGGACTTCGATCGCTATTCGGCCCACTACAAAGCGAATCCGCGACCAGAACGGACCGAAGGCCTTGCATCAGGCCTTGCAGGAAGATGTTCCATATTGGCCGCGTGAAGAAGACCTACGCGCGCGACTGCGCCAAGCTGGAAGTGATGGCGCAGCGTCAGACAGTGGCGTGGACGGTTTGGGAGCACGCGAGAGAGGTCCTGACGAACGGTGGGGGGGTAATGAAGTACAGCAGGGCTCCTTCTTCGGACATTGCACGGGTTGTGAAGCAGGTTATCGAGGAGCTGTGGGTGGAAGTGGACGCACGAGGAGAGGAACCGCTGAGCAGCCGTGCCGCCGTGCAATCGGCAGAAAAGCGAACCGTAACGGGCGACACGGGCGTGTCACCCGTTACGCGGTGTTTTGCCGCCTCGACTACGGCAGGATCGATGAGCAGGTGATCGATTGCCGCAGGATCGAGACAGGGACGTCGACGGCTACTTGCCGCAGCTGATTTTTTTCCTCTGGGAGAGGGTTATGCTGCCGCCGTTCCTTTTGCCGCTGCTGCGTTTTCGTCCTCTCCTCCTCCTGCTCCTCCTCCTTTTCCTCCCCCTCCCCCTCCCCCTCCTCCTCGTGAAATAGTATATCTCGATCGTCACGCTCGTGTGCACAGCGCACAGAGTTGGAACGAGAGACTTCGTCGTCGTGGGTGATGGTGGCCTTGTTGAGTCGGCCCCTTGAGGGAGGGGGGGTTCCGTGTTCACGCCCGTTTTCGGGTGCCTCAACGTGGTCGTCTTCGCCCGCTTGCCCGAGCAGGTTGGGGCGCGAGGCGGTGTCCTTGCCCTGCTCTGGCCTCCTTGACTCCAAAGGCCGCTTGGAGGTTCGGAGTGTTGGGTCGGTGGGTTCGGCCTTGTAGATGTTCCTTTCGATTAGGCCGAACTCCAGCCGATTTAGGGCACATATTCGTCCGATCGGTACACTAGCGCACGCTGTAGAGCACGGGACATCAGCAGAGACACTATGGACCCCGAAGGGCATTCATTCACTCATTCACTCACTCACTCACTCACTCACTCACTCACTCACTCACTCACTCACTCCTCCTCCTCCTCCTCCTCCTCCCCCTCCTCCTCCTCCTCCTCCTCCTCCTCCTCCTCCTCCTCCTGCTCCTCTTCCTCCTCCTCCTCCTCCTCCTCCTCCTCTTCGTCCTTTTCCTCTTCGCCCCTTCCTCCCGCCGAGGCCCCGCGCGGCTGCCGCTGGTCTTGCGGCCTCGCTCGCGGGCGCGGGCGCGCCGTCGCCTTGGGCCGCGCCGCCATGACGGCGGGGCCCTCGCTGCACCCTGGCAGACCCGCAGCTCCCTCTTCCCGCCCCCTCCTCCGGATTGTCGGGGGCAGGAGGATGAGGGTGGGATTCTCTTGGCCTCCCAGATGGGGTCCGAGTAGCTGGGGTCGGAGGATCGCGCCGCATCGCCGATGCATCACCGATGCATCGACGATGCATCGGCGATGCGGTGCGATCCTCCGACCCCAGCCACTCCGACCCCATCCAGGGGGCCTCAAGGGATGGGGGGGAGGCATGCGTCGCCCCAGAGCGTTCCGGGGCTGCCGGAGCGCGCTGGGAGGGCCGCGGCGCGCCCGACGCATCCTCCAGACCCGCCAGGCCGCCTCAGATATTTCCGGTTTGTCATAATCCGGGTTTGAAGGCTCCCTCCCCTGGCGCGCTTCGCGCGTTGGGGGCGACGCGGGAGGATCCCCCCCCTCTGGCAGCGCCTCCGGCACCGCCCCTGGCGCGCTTCGCGCGCAAGGGGAGGGCTGCCTTTGGGGATCTGGGCTCTCAGGGAATCGGGTCCTGAGGTTTTTCGTCGTTTTCGGGCCTTCGGGACCCTCCACGGGCCCCGCCCTCGTCTTTCCACCCTTCCTTTCCCCCCCCCCCCGCACCCTCCTCACCCGCTTGGTTTCCCTTTCCCTGGGAGGGTAGGGCGGCGGGGGGGGGGGGGCGACCCATGGGTGTGGCGAGGGCCTTTTACAGGCCGCCGGGGGCGCCGGGCGAGCGGTAGTGCTCGACCCCTTCGCGGCCAGGAATTTCGTGGAGCCCGGCAAGGACAGGGCCCGTCGACGAACGAAACAGTCACACTCTTATGGGGGACCGAACGGGCTATGGGTGCGTGTTGTCGGCTGGGGGTCCCCGCTCTGACGGGAGCCTCCTCAGGAGTCCGACAACCCGCAACCATACCCACAGCCAGTCTTCCTCCATTCGACCTTCCTATGGGTATGGGTGTGTGTTGTTCGTTCGTTATGTCTCCCCTTTCAAAGGGGGTATTGTCGACCTCGGCGTCCAAGTCGGTCGCAGAATTTACCCGCATGCTGGGCTGATCGCCAAGCGTTACCAGAGGGAGCCAGAAGTTCGATTCAGCTGAGTTCTCCAATGGAACCAGTATGGGGTTGCAGTTGAGAACCTTCGCCCTGCTTCGGATGTACGCCTTGACCTTCAAGGTTTCACCGACGAGGCATAGTTGGGTCGAACGAGGGGTAGAGTGCCTCGAAGAGGCTCAAGATCGTCGCAGTTGGAAGGTTGCGGAGCCTGCTCTTGATTAGTGAGTCTTACTGAGGCGAATCGTGTTCAAGTTCTCTCTCTCTCTCTCTCTATATATATATATATATATATCGGGGCCTTTTCGGGATCTATGATTTCTGGGATCAAATTGTCATACTCGGGCGGATGTTGGGCGGGTAATCATAATCGAAATCTCGTTGTAAATTGTAGGCCCTGTAGACATAAGAATCCACAATGCCTTAAGCTCCCACATGCAATGATGGACGGTGGCTCATGTTCAGACTTACGATCTGGCATTGGAGTAGTTCACCATCGGTGGCGGGAACGCTAACAACTCCGATTGCCACGGGGGGAGAACTTCCGTTGTCAAATTCGAGCTACTGCTTTGGATTACGTCGCTGTTCTTGAAGCACAGGCTAAACAATGGATGCGTTTCCTAACCTATGACGTTCCTTGTCTCGTGATCGGAGAAATGCCGACATGTGTGACAGCACGGTCCCCCGTCGGATATATTGCTCTAACGTGGCAATTTGTTTGATCATGGCCGGGCGGGCGTAACTGTTCCGTCGGGGGGGGTCCTCGCAGAAGGTTGCTGGAGGGCTCTTCGGAGATTTCCTTTAGTTTTGTCCGCATCCGACTGGAGGTATTCTAGACACTTCGCGTATCCCCACCAGTAGCTTCGCCTGCTGGCCCAGACGACGCCTACCGCTCCCTGTCCGCCGCCTCGGAGCCGCCGACCAAAAAAAAGTATCCCCACCAGCGGCTCATCACTCTCAGCGTCGTTTGCTTCGGCCCTGGAGGACCACGTGGTAGGGGGGAGGAGGAGGAGGAGGAGGAGGAGGAGGAGGAGGAGGAGGAGGAGGAGGAGGAGGAGGAGGAGGAGGAGGAGGGGCAGTGCCATCGGCGGACTGGGCCAGACTTGCCTCCTGGCCCCCGTGGTCCTCCACAGTGCAGCTCTCCCTGGCGCTTCGCCCTACGACACCGCAGAAGACCGCACTACCACCACTGCAGACCCCCGCACTCCCCCTTGCTGGCAATGCTCACCACGCCAGCTGGTCCTCCCCCCTCTCACTGAGGCCTGACGCCGTGCTGGCTCGCGACGCGTGGCCCGGAATCGTTCGGTTCCCCCTTGCACTGTGGGGTGGTCTATCGGGTGTTGGTGTCGCCATGGAGTGGTTCAGCCTTCCGCAGCGGGCACAGCACCCCAGGCTCGTCCACCAGCTCCCGGCAAGGGCGTTGCCCCACGTTCCGCGGCAACCCTGCCCTCCCTGGCTTGCAGACGTCGCAGTGGGCGTGTGGTGTTTGGCGCCCCACAGGCGACTCACTCCACCGGCCTCCCTCTTGCCCCCACTCAGATTGACGGACTTGGTCATCCTGGCTCACGTCTCACGACGGGCTTGGTTTCTCGGTTCACGTCTCAGACTGTGACAGGCACCGAATTCCATGACATTTTGTCTGTGCACGCGCACGAGCTCTCAGGATCAGGTCACCTGCGGCGTCAGCTTCTCTTCAGCTTCGCGGCTGCTTTGTGAGCGGGCCGGCCGGCCTGTGCCTAATTAGCCTCGCCCGTGGCCCGGACGTCGTCTCCGCTCCCTGACCGTTGTCTCGGGGCCGCTGACCAAAAAGTATCCCCACCAGCCCATCCAGAATCGATGTCCAGGCGAGTTGAGGTGATCAGGGAAGTGCGGCAGCAAAGAGGAGGACGGCCGAACCGTGCAAAGGAGTGAGGAGGAGAAGGAGGAGGTGGATGGATAGATGGATGGATGAGAGAGTGGGAAGAAGGAGGATGAATAGGATGAGGAGGAGGCGGAGGAGGAGGAGGAGGAGGAGGAGGAAGAGAAGGAGTAGGAGCAGGAAGGAGGAACAGGAGGAGGAGGAGGGCAAGCACAAGGGCCAGAGGTCTCTTGGATGCCTCTCGGAGCCTCTTGCGGTATCTTTTGGGCGATTATTGGTGGCCTCTTGGGACGTCTCGGGGGTCTCTTGGCGATCCTGGGGGGCTCTTCGGGGTCTTGGGTGCTTCGGGGGGGGCCTCTTGGGGGCCATCTTGGGGCCATCTTGGGGCCATCTTGGGACCTCTTGGGGCCTCCTGGGCGCTTCCTTGTGCCATCTTGGAGGAGATCTATCAAAGAAGAACGGAGCATTAATTAGGCTTGCCCCCCCTGGAAGCCAAAATGGGGGTAAAACGCTAGTAAAATCAATGATTTTGGCTTCCTCGCCGAGGTCGTTTTAGACGCTCTGACACCTCCCCTTCCCTCCCGTCCAGGTCCACGGGGAGGGGGTAGGGGGAGGGGTAAACCCCTCCCCGAAGGGGAAGAAGGAGGGGTGGAAGAGGAAACGCCCTAAACCACCGACGCCCAGAGGGTTGGTGGGATTCGGCAAGCAAAAGGAGGGTTGGGCCCTTCCGAGGGGGCCCTGGAAGGATAATGTGTGTCAGGTAGAAGCCATTGTAACATGTAAGCTTTGTGTTCCCGAAGCAGTGCTTTCATTGCGGGGTTCTAGCTACTGTTTTCCTGGCGGTTTGGACGGAAGGTCGTACTGCAGCATCAGTGATGCTTGATGGGTTTGGACTGGTGCTCCTGGGACATCAATTCTGCCCAGGTGCCGGCAGCAGATGCGGACGGAATCGGCAGTCCGCAGTGCTTTGGGATGGGCGTGCGTTTGCTAATCGACCTCCTTCTTTAGGATGCGTTTCGGATTGGTTTTGTGGCCAATTTGGGCTTGTTGGAGTGTGCATTGTCGGACCGCGCCCCAAAAAACTGCATTTACATTATATAGGGGGTTGGGAAACATTGCTTTTGCTTGTGAGTTTTTTGCAGTTTCGCATGATTTGCAGCTTCGGCTGGCTTTTTCCTTTAAAGAATATTGGCCGAGCGCCCATGCCAAGCAGTGCTGTTTCTCTTCCTCGGCCACAGGCTGCGAACAGCGCCTGACGGCACTCCGTGCGTGGCCCGGAGTCCGACGGGCCCGGGCCACGACAGCAGAAGAGAAAGCTTGAAGGGAGGGCGCTTTGCAGTTGGCCTGGGCGGGGCTCCGCAGCACCCACCCATCGGAGTTGGGTAGACCTCCTACCCTGACACGTCGATTAAGGAATCGGCCGTTTTCGGTTCGCGAGAGGGCGTTGCGGCCGTCGTTTTTGCGGGTCCAGGTCCGTCGGTTTTGGTCCCAGGCCGTTTTCACTAAGGGGAGGTTTACTAAAGGGAGGTTTGTCCACCGCCGAACCCAGTGGAAAGAAGGCTCCCTCTGAGAGGCGCATCCTCAAAACTCAGTTCCGGTATCCTCGCTTCGTGTCGACCGGCGGCGACCCCGCCGCGGGCGTTCAACGTTGAACGCCGCCAGCGACTCACAATCGATCGATGTTGAACGATCTGACGTTTCGGAAACGGCCGATCGTTCAAGGTTGAACGATCCCTGCGGTGAGAGAATCCAACGCCGAAGTCGGCACGGCACGAACCTGCCGTGTCTGGTTTGCGAGTCCTCCCTCGGGCCCGTACGTGACGCGTGCAGATGGTGCGACGACCCGTCGATCCTCGCGTCTGCTACGACGGTGGGGTCCATGGACCTGCGCAGGTGCAGACGCACGCACGAGAGAGAGGTCGTGGATTCCGCGTGGCAGTGAGCGAGCAAGTGTGACGAGTGTGCCCCACGTCCTATCCGAAGGGCCCGCGCACCCACGCGCGCCCGTCACCCATCGTTGGGTCGCCCGCTGCGGCGATGGCAGCCGCTGTACCTCTCTGCCCGAGCGGCTCCCGCGCCCCCGCACCCCTCCCGCAACTACCCCGCAGGAGACCGGAGCTCTCGGCAGCACCCTTCGTGGGAGCCCTGCGTGTCCTCGCGATATTCCGCCGGTCGAGCGCAGTCGAGGAGGAGGAGGAGGAGGAGGAGGAGGGGGGGGAGGAGGAGGAGGAGGAGGAGGAGGAGGAGGAGGAGGAGGAGGAGGAGGAGGAGGAGGAGGAGGAGGAGGAGGAGGAGGAGGAGGAGGTCTTGCTCCCTCGTGGTCGTCAACGGCCCCCGGACGGCGCGAAGAGGCCCCAGGACGGCACGAAGACGGCAATCAGGCGGGCAGCGTCGGGCAATGGATGGGAAGGCGCCGACTGAGCGTCGATGAACGTCGATGAGCGTCGATTTCTCGAGAGCCAGCAAGATGGCATCTGAGGCGCCCATGAGCTTCGGCGGCGAGCGAAGGGGGGGGGAGCGAGAAGGGGCGGGCCTTCTCAGAAGGCTCGGAAGTCCAGCGGCCTTCTGAGAAGTTCTCTAAGCCTTCCCCGAAGACGCAACAAAAACTGCTCAGAAGGCGCGAGGGCTTCTGAGAAGCCCCGCCGCCTTCTGAGAAGGCCTCCTCCTTCTCTTTTCCCCCCCCCCCGGTCGCCACCGTGAGTTGCCACCGAACCAGGGTTAAGTCGGGCCGGTCCCTCTACAGGAGGGATATTAAGAAATAGTAAAAAATTAGTATGATAACGATTTTTTAAAGTTCTTTTGAGCATCTTTGGTATTTTTCCTAACTTTGAATTTTTTGTACCCAAGGTCCCCCTTGTAGGGGGACGCGCCGCCCGACCTAAAATCGGGGGCGGAAAAGAGGGGGGTGATGACTAGGGGGGGGTGAATATCATGGCGTGGGCCATGATGTCTCCCCAGATTTCATGGCGCCTCTTCTTATTTCGTTGCGTCCCTGGCCCACCCGCTGGGCCGCGCACATGCCGCCGGTCATGAGTTGCACCCCCCGCTCTTGGACACCCCCCTCTTGGCCGCTCCCGATAAAACCAGGGGCGGTGCCTTCCTCGATTCCCCCCCCCCCCCGCCCGCCTCCGCAGGAGCCGGTGGGCGGCGCTTTCATCCGCTTCGACAAGGGGGAGTTCGAGGCGCGCGTCAACGCCTGGTACGAGGAGCTGGCCGACCCCCCGCGGAGTAGGGTTGGCTCGGGCCTGTCCCTCTACAGAAGGGATATTCAATCTAGTTTTTAGAAAAATAGTCTGGGGACGATGTTTTGACTATGTTCTGGCATTTTCTGAGTATGTCCTGAGTCTTTCAAATCTTTCGCCCCAAAAATCCTCCCGTAGGGGGACAGGCCCGACCTAGGAGGAAGGGTCAGGCGATCGCAAACATGGATCAAGGGGGCGTGGATTAGCGACGGGTCGCGTTTCCATCGGAAATGGCGGATTTCCGCCGCCGAGCGAGGCGGCACCGGCCGCATTTTGGGGAGGGCACCTGTCTCGATCCATGGATCTGGCGACCGCGCGCCAAGTCCATGGATCGCTAACCCATGTTTGTGCGCCCCCGACAGGGACGGACGGATGGAGGAAGTTTTGCTCCCCCCTCCTCCCCTCGCGGAGGGAGGCTCATCCACTTTCCCGCCCACTCCTTCGGCAGCAAATCATGGGAGCCTTTTCTACGTCTTCGCAAGTCCGTCTGCGGAGTGCACTGGTGTTCGCCAGCGCTTGGTCATCGACGAAAGAAAGCGTCGAATTGGCGTCGTCTCAGCGTCGATTCAGCGTCGACGAGCGTCGATCCGCAGCAGCCCACAGGATGGCACCGGCAGGCCCCCACGAGTTGCCACCGAACTTTCCCCGCCCAGCCACCCCCCTTCCGCGAGCCGCCACGGTGCGCGATCGCAGGGGCACCGCCGGCAGGAGAGGGCCCCGTGCGCCCACAGGAGGAGGCGGAGGAGGAGGAGGGAGGAGGAGGAGGCGGAGGAGGCGGAGGAGGAGGAGGAGGAGGACGAGGACGAGGACGAGGACGAGGAGGAGGACGAGGACGAGGACGAGGACGAGGACGAGGACGAGGACGAGGACGAGGACGAGGACGAGGACGAGGACGAGGAGACGAGGACGAGAGGACGAGGAGGAGGAGGGAGGAGGAGGAGGAGGAGGAGGGCCCCGTGCAGCCCTCCCCGCCCCCCCCCCCCCGCGAGCGCCTCTGCACCCGTCGCGTGCCAGCGGCGGGGAGAGGGGGCGCTCTCGGAGCCCGCGCGCAGGGGCCTCGAGGGCCGGTGCCGGAGGGAAAAAACTCGGAGGTGGATAGACCTCCTACCCTGACACGTCGATTGAGGAATTGGCCGTTTTCGGTTCGCGAGAGGGCGTCGCGGCCGTCATTTTTGCAGGTCCAGGTCCGTCGGTTTCGGTCCCAGGCCGTTTTCACTAAGGGGAGGTTTACTAAAGGGAGGTTTGTCCACCGCCGAAAAACACACGGACAGAATAATGAATCGTCGATTCCCCAGAAAATATGGGAGAATACGGGAGTTGGGAGGGAAGACAAAGACCCAGAAAATATTGGAAGATATGAGGAATCCTTGTATTTGTGTGTGTATTTATCTGTGTGTCCTTGGGCCCCTTGACTTGTGATGTTCCAACCTGAGAAGGATTTTCGAGCCCCCCCCCAAAAAAAAACGAAGCTCAATCGTTGTCATGTGTCGGGCCCTGGGGGACACTCGTCCGCCACGGTTTCGACACTGTTTCGATTCTTTGCCGGGCGCTCGAAATTATTTCTGGGATGTGGTCCTTCCGTACGACGGAAGCAACATAAGGCCAGGCAGATTGGCCGATTTGGCAGGCACCCACGGCCCACGATCGGGGAAACGTAAGACTCGAGCACGCCGGAGCTTGGGTTCGCCTACGCTTTTTGACGAGCCCGTCCTGAATTTTGACGGTCCAGTTTTCGTGGGATGTCTGCAACGGGAGCCCGCGTCAAATTTCACACCGTGTCGCGTGATTTTCATGATGGCCCCGTCGGGCCAGCCCGAGTCCCCCTAACCCGAGTCTTACGTCTCCCTGACACGATGGTCGAGCGAAGAAATCGGCGACGAAATCCGAACCCTACTCTGGCGGGTCAACGATTCAGGCAGCTCGATGGGCGGCTGCGGCAGGGTTCCGCATTCGTCGAACACGTGGCCAAATCCGAGCCCTACGCCCGAGATCGGGGAACGTGTTTTTTGTCGCAGCAGCGAGAGTCCTCACCGAGTTCGTGGGCAGCCGTGGGATGCACGGGGCCGAATTGGGCGAGATGCGGTAAATAATGATATGAAAATAACTTTTCGGAGGTCCGCGCGGATATCTCGGATCGGCGCTGGAGCGCCCCGTGCACCAGGGAGGGGGGGTCAGCGCCGATCCAAGAGATCAGCGCGGACCTCCGAAAGGTTATGTTTCTGTCATCGCTTGTTCCCCAATGAGTGAAGGCATGACGTGTTCTGACGTCCTGCCAGCGCCTAACGCCGCCGATCGCGACTGCGAGCATTGGCAGAGGTCAAGGAAGGGGTTGCGGCTCACTCGTTCATCCGTTGTTATCTTACCCATTTTCGCCGTCTTTGCTTCGCAGTGCTAGTAGCATCACACAGAGAGGAGTAAGAAACATACGAGCTTGAACAACAAAAAACTCACGTGGGCGTTGTTCACCGGGGCTTGGCCACCGCCACGAGTAGATTTGCGTGCGGGTCTTGCGAAGTATGTCCGTCAGTGTTCGAGGCTCTTGTCGATGCGTCTTTGGGCGCCATTGCTGCGAGGTCAGGTCTGCTTCTCGGACGTGCTGCTTTGCTACCAGACTGCGCGTCGCTACCAGGATATGGTCTGACACCGGGGCGAGATCGGGAGGCACCCGCACGTATGCGGGCGACCAGCTGAGGTTCAGCGTTGGAGGATCGACTCTGAGGCCACAAGGCCGGCACGGAGTGCACCCGCGAGGGTGGCAACAGAAAGCAGGGATCCTCAGGGCACGGTCGACAGCATCACGCTGGTAGTCACTTTCCGGAGACGACCGCCGCGCCCGAGAGCGAAGCAGGGGCGAGCCGCAGTACGCGTTGGATCGAAAGATTGCCCAGGTGGCCTTGCACCAGGCCGGGGATTGGCCGTCGCCGCGGATGCGGTCGCCGACTGCAGCAGGCAGCCTTAATTTAGGCGGAGACGGGTCGATGAGGATGGGCGGCACGCTGGCCCGCCTTGGAACCAGCAATGCGGGACTGGAAAATGACCACAGCCACTGCTTCTTGTTTGCGCCGCCTTCCAGCCAGCCGAAAAAGAAGCAGTTGTTGTGGTCATTTCCCTGGTGCCAAGCTTAACGAAAATGACCACAACCACTGCTTTGTTTCTGCTGGCTGGATTTCTGCTGGCTGGAAGGCGGCAACAAAAGAAAAGCAGTGGCTGTGGTCGTTTTCACGTCCCGTAAGCAACGCCACGGCATGCGCTGAACACTTCAGATCTGCAGTTCCAGCTGTGCGGTATCCAGATCTCCTGACCAGAGGCCATCACGCGCACCATCGTGGACGGCGCCGCACGAGTCGCCCGGGCCAGGCTGGACATCGATCGGCTTCGCATCACGCGGCCTTTGGCACCGGAGGAGAATCAGTGGCGTCCAGAGGCACGCGATGCAACCGCGCCAGGCTTCAGTCGGGCCTGTCCCTCTGCAGGGGGGATATTCAAAATAGTCCAAAGAATCGTCGGGGGACGATTTTTGTAGTATTTTGGAACATTTTTTAGCATTTTTACAATATGTTTGATTGTTCTCCTGCAGGGGGACAGGCCCGACCTAACGCTAGGCGCAGAGGTGAGGAGAGGCGTCGCCGCGAATGGCACGCCAGGCGCCAGAGCTCGGCCCCAGAGGCCAGGGCTCACGAAGAGCCCGATCGTGCGGGCCGAAGGTTGGATTTTGCGCGGTGCACGGATTCGAGGAGGCAGCTAAGTCAGGCCTGTCCTTCTACAGGGGGCATATTCCAAAATAGTAAAAACAACTGCTCTGGGGACGATTTGTTCCCAACCATCCTGTGGTGTTGGGTCTTCGTTTTGAAGAGGCGGTGCCCCGCGTTCCTCCTCCTCTCCTCCTCCCCCTCCTCCCTCCTCCCTGCGTTTCACCCACCCAGTACAGCGCTTCGTGGCCCCATGGGTATGTAGCTCCACCGAAGGTCCCAGTGGCAGAACTCGCATGGCATCCCCGCCCCATTTTGGCCCACCCCTCACACGCTTCGTGGCCCCATAGGGAACTCCACCTAAAGTCCCAGTGGCAGAACTCGCATGGCGGCGCCGCCCCATGTTGGCACACCCCCTCACACGTTTCGTGCCCCCATAGGGAGCTTCACCTAAGGTCCCAGTGGCGGAACTCGCATGGCGGCGCCGCCCCATTTTGGCGCACGCCCCATCGGTAGTTCCACCTAAGGTCCCAGTGGCGGAACTCGCATGGCGGCCCCGCCCCAGTTTGGCACACCCGTCACACGCTTCGTGGCCCCATGGATAGCTCCACCTAAGGCCCCAGTGGCGGAACTCGCATGGCATCCCCGCCCCGTTTGGCACACCACTCACACATTTCGTGGCCCCATAGGAGCTCCACCTAAGGTCCCAGTGGCGGAACTCGCATGGCATCCTCGCCTCATTGTGGCCCACCCCTCACACGTTTCGTACCCCCATTGGGGGATCCACCGAAGGTCCCAATGGCAGAACTCGCATGGCATCCCCGCCCCATTTTGACGCACCCGTCACACGCTTCGTGGACCTAAGGTCCCAGTGGCGGAACTCGCATGGCGGCCCCGCCGCACGCTTCGTGGTCCCATAGGGAGCTCCACCGAAGGTCCCAGTGGCTGAACTCGCATGGCGGCGCCGCCCCATTTTGGCACACCCCTCACACGCTCCTTGGCCCCATAAGGAGCTCCACCGACGGCCCCAGCGGCAGGAGCGCACCATGCGCGAAGGCGACGGGGCGAGGGAAATGCGCCCTGGGGCAGTTCTCGGCCAGACTTGCTGGACGCGGGCAATCCTCAGCCAGACCTCGACCTTGTGGACTCTCGCCCTGGGCCGTCGGCTGCCCGGCGCGCTGCTCCTTCGGCCGACGTCGCCCAGGCGCGATCCTGGACTGCGGCCGTCACGAGGTCGGGAACGGCAAGAAGGAGGACGACGCTTGGTGGCTGGAGCTCTAC